GTTGTACGTTTGTGTATAAATACATATGTTTTAAATAATACGGTTACACCTTTTTTAATATACAAGTATTGATAAATTCAGTCTAAGTAACTTACAAATTCAGTTCCACTTACCTGACTCGTGAACTTGACAATATGGCGCTGTTTCTCCCGCGAAGTCACTCAGGCTCGTGCACGTGCAGAATGATCTCAGTGTTGGCTGGATTAGTTTTTATTAGTTTAGTCAACATCAGCATAGCTAATTGTTGACTGGATTTGAAAATAACCGTTCATTCAATGTTTTTCAAATATATTTATGTAGACTTAATATAATATGTCCTCTCAACTAAGCCCAAGCAATAAAATTAGCTCAACTTAAATATTTTTGCCCTTCCAACATTTTGTTAATTGGATTTTTTGCAGTGTACGCCAAACTGTATTCAGCTAATATGAGAAGTCTGCTAATTGGTTTAAGCTGTAGCATGTGAACTTCATTCAGCTGATGTGTTAAATCTACAGATTTGATATTAAATCTAATTAATATTGTATATATTAGTATGTCCGTGCCGAACTACATTCAGCTATATTAATAGATTTCGACTGTTAGCATGTAAGCATGCCAAACTACACTGAATAAAATTATAAACGCAACACTTTTGTTTTTGCCCCCATTTTTCATGAGCTGAACTCAAAGATCTAAGACTTTTTCTATGTACACAAAAGGCCTATTTCTCTCAAATATTGTTCACAAGTTCCGCTAAGTCTGTTAGGCTAATCAATGTAAATATTAGCATGTAAATGTGCCAAACAATGTTCTGCTAATATGACAAGACCGCTACTCAATTTAAACTGTAAATATTAGCATTCATGAACTTCTTTTAGCTCATACTTTCCAATGTCCAATCCATACTAAAAGACTGATGTTGTAAGTGTTCTAGGAAATATTTATTCTAATTAGATTTAGTATAACTGTTAATATAATACACTGTTAAGTGCGCTAAACTGAACGTCAACAGTTAGCACACGTTGACCTAGCGGTGAAAAGTTAGAACACAGACAGAAAGCACACATTAACTGGCTGAAGTATTTAAAATTCAAGTTGAAAAAAATCTAATTCAGAACTAAATGCCATATTCAGTTTTGTTAAATGACACTTATAATTCTAATTAATTCAATCATTCTAATTTACACAATACAAATTCAATTTGTTTTGTCATATTATAAGCTCCATAGAGGTGTAGCTTCATTGACATGAGACAAAGTGGAGTTAACACACTCATGCACGTTCCCCTCGGCTCAGGAGATCATTTTAAGGAGTTGTGTGCACTACATTGACAAGAAGTCAGCGTAACACTAAACCTTCTTCCTGAGGTCTAATGGCCTTTATATTCATTTTCACACTTCATTATCTCATCAAATTATCATTAGGCGCTAGATTAGCTGAACTTGACTGTGAGGGCGTTTGTAAGCTTATAACAAATATTTGAAATGGTTAATGCATTTATATAACAGAAATATTACATACGGCATAAATCAACCCAGACAATGTACACATACTTATATATACCATAATAAAAAATAATTGGGGAAATAATTGGGGAAATATATAAATAATTATACACACACACACACACATATATATATATATATATATATACAGTATATATATATAAAAAAAATTCCAGTTATTTTTACTATGGTATTGCCACGGTTTTACAATGATATTGTAAGGGACGAGATATCATATTAAGATTTTGATGTTCGCTTTTGCATTTATTAAATAGCTAATGGGAAATGCAACCCAATTATTCCACTGTCCCAGTTTAATGTGGCCTGTCTGGGATTTTGTTCGTAAACAAAACCACAGCAAATGCCAGTTCCAGACGCCCGACCGTACACTGATATTATCACAGGCGTGACTGCTGTTCTGTAGGACAGAGCGTTTCGTTAACCCGAGGCGCTAACGACACCGAATCATCTTTAATTGATCTAATTGATTCTCCACTGCTTAATTAGATTCTTGTCACTCCTAATGCATCAGTGATGAAGACCCTCGGGGTACGAGAGAGAGAGAGAGATGAGCTTTCTTCTAATAGTTGATGATACAGACACCAGTCGTTGCTCTGGTCTCATGTGATCACATAGACAGCTTTTAGTCGTTTTGGGGTAATTATTCTGCAATCAGCACACAAGCAGCTGTTCACAAGGACTTTATTATGCTCTGTTTGTAAAACAGATTTTTAGATGGTTATGGGAGTTGTTATAAATGTTAGGTGCTGTGTTAAGAGATATAGATTTTGCTGTAATAAAATGAATATCTTTTTCTTTAGCTTGACTGGCAGAGCATGGCACCAGTGATGCCAAGGTCATGGGTTTGATTCCCAGGGAAGACACAAACTGATCTATATCATGAAATCACTGTAAATTGCTTTTCACACTGATTAACTTTGGATTAATGTCTTTTTACACCCTCTGCTGGTGCTGAAGGCACGCAGTGTGAATCAGTGCAGTGCTTGAATATTACAGCAAGTTGTTTAACAACAGATAGCCAATCATAGACTAATTTATAATGACTCCATTAAATATTCATGCTTGGTACAGTAGCAGAAACATCCATGAGTTTTTTAGTTTAAACATCTGAAGGAGAGTTAAATTCATCAGATGAGATGCTATAATTTTTGTATAAGTTTAAGAATACTTAAATGGGTAGTTAAAAAAATGAAAATTCTGTCATCACTACTCGCCCTCGCCCTTATGTCATTTCAAACCTGTATGACTTTTTTCAGTGAAACCTAAAAGAAGATATTTTGAGAAATGGCTAAGTGTTTTTTTATTCTATAAAGTGGAAGTCAATGGTCTCCAGTATTTTTGGTTTCCAATATCCGGCGCAAGTCACCAGAGAGTCTGTCATTTCACTGGAAGATCCAGTTATGACGTTTATTAAAGCAAATATACGTTTATTTCTCAAATTAAAGCACATGCATGAACAAATCGTTCACAATATGATAAATAAAATGCATTTAGAAAATAGATAGGGTGTATTTTTATTTTAATGCCAACTTTAACACAGAATATATTTAATGCATTACACTACAAGCATAACTGGTGTTTTTCAAACACTGGTCAATTTTGAGATTTCAGGCTATTTTGCTTCTATAACTTGTCTTCTGCAAAGAAAACATCTAAAGTACACATTACACTTTATCTGTTTGCATCTGTAGATTTAATTTACAATGCATATCTTTAAAGGTGTTTTTCTCAAAATGAGTTTTTTTTCTCATGCACTCCACTTCAGTAGCACTTACAAACAGCAAATCTTACAGTTCATATATACAGTCTATATTCTAAAGGTTTTTACTGAGGCGGTTGTTCATTTATCACTCACCTGATTTATGTAGGATTTTATTCCTTAAAACATGTTAAAAATTTGGGTAACACTTTCTATGAAGCCAGTATTTATAATACATTATAAGGGTATTCTTAAGATTCCACAGAGCCGTTGTTCACTGACAAGCTGCGCAAAAAATTGCGCGATTATGAACGTGGTTTTGCGCAGCTTGCCAGTGAACAACGGCTCTGTGCAGTAAATGCTGCTCAATGTGAAAGCCCGCACGTGATGGAGATTTACCGCTGATTACAGAAGCGGCTTTACTGACAAGATGCGCATTAAATATAAATAATACTCTTAAACGTATAACCACAAATACGTAAGTATTATGATGTATTATAACTGTTGTTATGATTATTCATGAGTTGATATAACATATTATAAGTTTTTTTATAATGCATTATGCATTCATTATAATGCCTTAAGAATACCCTGATAATGTATTATAAATACGGGCTTCATAGAAAGTGTTGCCAAAATTTGTTTTCTCCTGAAAATATTTTCAGATTTTTGGAGTAAATCCAAGATATCCAAAAAAAAAACTCGGTAAAATCCATTAACTCTAATATGTCAACAAAATGAATGAAATATCCAGTATTCAGATTTCTGTTCTAGAAATGTATGCAAATTAGTATATGAATTAGCATATTAAATTACATAATGTCTCATTTGCAAATTCAAACATAACATTTCAGAAAACTTGTAATAAACAGTTATCTTAATGTACTGTGATTAATCAACTGTGGAAAGTACAGTGATATCTGTTAATTACAATTTGTAGCCTTTTCACCTGTAGTGTCTTGCCTTAAGCATGCGAAGCCCATTAGTTGTTTTAGATAGAAGCATCTGCCAAATGTCATGCAAGTCATGCAAATGCAGAACAGCACAGTTAATCATAGCAGTGAGGTTAGTGAAGTGATATTTGTATGTCTAGAGCGCTGTTTGTATGTGTGTGTTGGCGGGGGGCTGATGGTGTCTACAGGCGGGTAACTGTGGCTCACATGAGCAAGGAAGAACAGATTTGTCCCTGCTGTTCGCGCTGATGATAACTATCTCCATGCATCCAGACAGATGGACCGTGTGTGTGTGTGTGTGTGTGTGTGTGTGTGTTAAGGGGAAGAGACCACCATAGAAAAAGATCCTTTGTGTGTCTCTGACTCGCTTTCTCTTTTGTGAGCACTCGTCCCATCTTTTTATCACTGATGGGCTGCACTTTAAGGCATGGATGCAGGGTTGACATTGTCTTTGTACATTTCTGGCTTTTAAAGGATGTTTTTGTCTCTCTACTGCATTCGGAGTTGGACGGGGAAAGAGTTGAAGGCCCTCATTTTTCTGTTCTTTCATTTAATAGCATAAGAGGCTGGATATTAGCATTTGGTCCAATCTCCTAATGCAGTTAAAGAGGCTGCACTGGAGTCAAACAGAAGGACAGGAGCTTCCACCTGAGCTTTTTCATAGCGTCCACACTCTCACAGCCTCAGCTTTTAACCTGATTGGCTCATCAGCGGAGCGGGATGGGGATCAGGGAGAGTAGCGGTGTGTGGGGGTACGTCTAGGTGGTCCGGCCGTGGTGGTCCTGATACAGGCATGGTGCTGGAGTCTGACCTCACTGTCCTGCTCTCTCTTATGCCCAGTGATTACATCATCGAGGAGAAGAACGCTGTGCTCCAGAAGAAAGAGAATGAGGGATTCGGCTTCGTCTTGCGGGGAGCAAAAGGTAAGACGTGGCTTTGAGTTCATGGCCTCGGTTTGCTTATACTGTCAGAGTTGACGCTTCTTTCACAATACTGGGTTGCATTACACACTTAAAGTCAACATGAAACACTGTTTGCAACACGTTTTACTTTTGTAATGTGATGTATTTCCAAGTAAAACAGGATTTTCAAAAAATGGTTGAATTTGAGAATCGCTTGGCTTGTGAAAACTGACCAATCGGAATGGAGCAAGACTTGAATGCAATTTTATACTTCAGTCGAGTTTTAGTAGTTTTGGTTATAGGTTAACATAAATGGGTTATGGGTGAAAATAAAATAGTTTACATTACATTTTAATGGAAGTGCATCGTAAGACCAGGAGCATTGTTAATTATTTAATTAATTTATTAAATATAAAAATGTATAATAATAGTCGCACTGATAGCCTTGTGGGCAGCGCGCTGACAAAAAGTGCCGTCCCGTGTTCGAATCCCGACTTGAGGACCTTTCCTGATCCCACCCCCTCCTCTCTCTCCCACTTCACTTCCTGTCAATTCTGATCTGTCCTGTCACAATAAAGGCAAAAAATGCCAAAAAAAACATCTTTAAAAATATATAATAATAATTATTATTATTATTGTTGTTGTTGTTTTACACTACACTAATTACCAATAGTTAATAATAGTTATTTTTATTATTAACAATAATCAAAATTATAATACATTTTTATTATTATTGTTTTTGTACTTGAATTATTTAAAAATATATGTATGAAAAAAGTTATTATTAAAATTATTATAACAATAAGTATGAATAGTTAATAATAGTTTTTATATTTTTTATTGATAATCAAAATGTAATATTAAACAATATATTAATAATAATCAAAATTGGCATGAAAATTATAATAAAAATATTAGTATTTAATTATTTAATAATAATAATAATAATACAATTAATAATAATAATAATAATAGTTAGCTTACATTCCCAGGGAACAAAGGGATTGATATACAGAGAAAATTAGATTTAAGATGTTCTAGTTGTGATTAAAAGAACCCTAAAAGCAATAGACTCGTCTGAAGAACGTACAGTATAATTTACCATGAAGAACTTTTTAATATCCAGTGACCAATATAAGGATCCCTGTAAAAACCCAAGCATTGCAAAGAACCATTGAACCAAAATGCAGTTTTTCTCTAGAGTTAAAATGAATATTGCTCTGAAATAACATCCACCACACATCTACAATCATTTATATGAAATAAATGCATATCAGTAGTGCAACAGTGTGTGTGCTTTACAGATGCGGTTCTGGTGACAGCATAAAATAGAGTTAAGTGAAAGTTAACTTCATTACATACATAATCAAATATCGCGGTCACTGGTTCATATTGTGACATTTCTGAAACATTTATAGTGGTGACTCAACAGCATTATTAGACAGTTGTGTTTGACAACACATACAGATCAGCAGGGTTTGTGAGTAGTGTGTGTGTGTGTGTGTGTGTGTGCCCAGTCTCTGGGGTGGCACCATCCTGGGTAGGAGTTATGAGTTCCTAATGCCATCTGTTACCCACACGGTGCATTAATATCTCTTACGAATATGGGTGTCAGCAGTATCTTTATTGCTTTTATAATTTCTATACTATGACTTCCTCAAAGATTAAAAGGAAAACACTTCCACAGATCTATTTGGACTCATGTTTATATTAGTATATATTATTATAATTAAGCCATTCATTGACTTCAAGAAGAGTCTAAGCACCAATAATGTGATATTGCATGTGATTCTCTGTGTTTGTGTAGCGGAGACGCCCATTGAAGAGTTTACACCCACACCTGCCTTTCCTGCACTGCAGTACCTGGAGTCTGTGGATGTTGAGGGCGTGGCCTGGAGGGCGGGGCTAAGGACTGGTGACTTCCTGATTGAGGTATAAGATTGGTTTGTCCGCTGATATCCCAGATCTTTCTGTATCTACTATTAATCATGTTTCACATTTTCAGCACATAAAAATGCAGTAATGTTTGTTGCAGCTGTGTAATGACCTTGAGTCTAGTCTGAGATTCTGGGAATGTGCCGGAGGGGTGGAAAAACACTTATGATTTCATTGTGATTTTTCTCTCAGGTGAATGGTGTAAACGTGGTAAAAGTGGGACACAAGCAGGTGGTGTCACTCATACGGCAGGGCGGGAATAACCTCCTGATGAAGGTGGTATTTTAATTTTAATTTTAATTTTAATTTTAATTGACTTTCCAACAATGAAAATGCGACTCTTAGGGTTTGCGACTTACAAACAAGATCTGCAGTTTAATATAATGCTTAAATGTAGTTTATATGTATTCATGTGTGTCTCTCAAGAATAACATCTTACTGTTAAGTCGGTTACATGCAAATGGTGTAATATTGAGTATGTGGTATTATAGTTGAGTTATAGGGAATGTGCTGACTGCTGGTTTTGTTTGTTTATTGTGGGCAGGGCTACTGCAGTCAGACAGAAGAGCTCTTAAAGGCACGGGTTGCTAGGGAACCAGTTTTTGATGCTCTGTACTGTATGTAATGATCAGTGAGAGATTTCTCTCAGCAGGGCGAATCTAGTCTCACACACGAGGAAAAGAAATGCTGCAAGAATGAATAAAGGAGCGAGTGTAATGATCATAGCCGATCGAGACGGTAATGACTGTGTTTGTCAGAGGAGAAAACTTCAGGAGCATTAACTAAATGACAGGGTTATTTGTCACATGGAATTGTGATGACTAAGCAGATTGAAGTGTTTTCTGTGCAGCCTTTCCACATGCACACATTTGTGCATTCCTACACCCACTCAATCGATTAGCAGTTGAATGAGTCCACCGGTAGAGTTATTAGAACCACAGCAAGACCTCGAAACCCAAAGAGGTAGTCTATTCAATATCCATGCAAACTATCCTCACTTTTATCTGCAACTCCCACACAATCTGAACCCTTCATTGACCTGTGTTTGCTGTGTTAGTGGATGATGGAACAGCATAGTAAGAGTCGTTTAGCAGACACTTTTATCCAAAGCGTCTTACAGTATAGACTGAATCAGGATGGTTGACTATGCAGATTCATACCTAACTGTAAAGTACTGTAAATATAAGTCTTTTTGCATTCACTCTATGCTTTTTTGCAACTCTTTATATATGCATCAGACGTTCTCGCTGTCTTACCTGTCTAGTTAAATTAGTGTCTGTTCTGTTGGTTTTTTAGAATTATGATTATTAATTTTTTATTTTGTTTTATATGTTATTTATTAAATTCTGGATTGAAGGAAAATGACTGCGCATTTAACTTGCTCCATGAATATTTTTATTTGATTTGATTTTATTAAGTGTATTTTTCACCAAAATGTGAGTATTATTAAAGTTTGTAACTTATAATATATTGCTATATATATAAGCTATATATAATGTATATATAGCTTATATAATATATTGCTTAAATGTAGTTCATATATGTTCAACAGTGAGTCTGACAAGTGCCAAATGCATTAACTACACTTACATTTAATGCATTAGCAGATGCTTTTATACAAAGCAACTATTTTATTTTATTTTCAGGTGGTGTCACTCATACGGCAGGGCGGGAATAACCTCCTGATGAAGGTGGTGTCAGTCACACGCAAGCCAGAGTCTGAAGAGTCAGTCAGGAAGAAGGGTAAGATACTTGTTCACTTCAAACAGAACTGTTCTGTCCTAGGTGATAAAGCTACTGTATTTTTATTTTATGTAATTTTATTTTGTCATTTTAAAATGTAATGATTATTATTATTATCATTATTTATTATATATTTTTATTATTTATATTTTCTTTATATTATATATTCTGTATTTATTTATATTTCTATATTATTAAATTTTTTATTTATTTTATTTTATCATTCTAAAATAGATGCTTTTATACAAAGCAACTATTTTATTTTATTTATTTTATTTTATTAAAATAATTATAATTATTATAATTATATTTATTAAATTGCTGGATTTTTCACATGTTCCAGAATCTTTATTTTATCCTATTTTATAATTAAGTGGATTTCCACCAAAAAAAAATGTGAGTATATTTTACAAAGATTGTAGTTTATAAATAAGTTCCACAGCTAAATATATTGCTTAAATGTAGTTCATATATGTTCAACAGTGAGTCTCACAAGTGCACAATGTATTAACTACCATTTTTCACCAAGGAAAATGACTACACATTTAACATTCGTTTTATTTTATTTTATTTTATTTTTTAAAATTTAAAACAAAATGTTGCCAAGGAAAATGCAAGTATTATTAACAAAGTTTGTAGATTATAAGAGCCACAGCTTAATATATTGCTTAAATGTAATTTATATGTTCAACAGCAAGTCTCTTAAGTCCAAAATGCATTAACTACACTTCTATTTAATGCATTTGGCAAATGCTTTCTTCCAATGCATATTGCATTGCATTTAAACCATATATTTGATCAGTTCATGCATTCCCTGGGAGTCAAACCCATGTTGCTAGCAGGATGCTTTGCAGCATGCAACAGAAATGAACTATCCCTGCAATCAGAGGGAAGTGCTGTGTTGTTTATGCCCCTAAGACAGATCCTTACCCTAAAATCTGATTGTCGATGAGAATGTTGTTCTTTCTTGGCAAAATCACGGTCACCTGCATAGTTATTGCAGGGTTATTGCATAACTCTGGGCTATGCGAACTACCACACACTTACACACTACTGATGAAGTAATAATAGAGTGTCTGTTGTTAGTTTTGTGGCTATATCCTCCCACACACACATTCAAACTCACACACACAGATTCTCACAGTTGAAATGCACAAACCCAGGCCTTGCTCCTGCCAGAGTTGCCATGGTTACTACAATGCATGTTGAAGTAAGTATTGCATTAGTGCCTTGGTATTTCTCTCCTCGTCTCTCTCTCTCCAGCTCCACTCCGGTCTGCAAGGTTGTTAGCTGAAGGAGTGAGGAGTTTTACGCCGATGTTACTGAGACGACAGAAGTATCTGATCTCCTGGAACTCTGATCGTTTTCTTGGTGCTTCTTGTATCGCTGCTTGGGAGTTTATAGCATGCTTTGGACATAGCATCAGGTTTCGTTTCTGAGAGACAAAGGGAAACTCGGCCACCATTTGGGTTGTAAGAGGCTGAATGTGATATGAGGGGTTTTGGGAGACGAGTTTTTCTTTCTACCATCGGAGGGCCACCAAGAACGGAAGTTGGTTTCTGGTCGTGCAATCACACAGGAGATGTCTGATAGTTGCATGATTCTATGTTGCATGTCAGAGAGAGAAAGACGGAAGGAGAGAGTTTAATCGTGGTGCGGCAGTGTGGTACGTTGATCTTCAGATGAAGATGGTGAAAAAGCGCTGGCAGCTGCCGATGGGCAGCAGCCGTGAAGGCCCCTCGCCACGCCATCCTATATCCTCATCTACTCCTTGCCTTTCCTCCACAGCGCCCCCGCCTCCAAAAAGAGCGCCCAGCACCACCCTCACCCTGAGGTCCAAAAGCATGACAGCTGAGCTCGAAGAACTAGGTAAGAATTCCTCAAACAAACAAATGCGCTATGTTGTGAGGTTGAATATTTTTTCTTTCAGTTTTTGTCTTAAAGGAATAGTTCACCCAAAAATGAAGATTTTCTGAAATGTACTCACCCTCAGGCCATCCGAGATGTAGATGAGTTTGTTTCTTCATCAGGACCGATTTGGAGAAATGTAGCATTACATCACTTGCTCAACAATGGATCCTCTAGAGTGAATGGGTGCCGTCAGAATGAGAGTCCAAACAGCTGATAAAAACATCACAATAATCCACACGTGACGTCGCAGAAATAGAAACTGTTTCTAAAATAGAAACTTTGCGTGTTGCCTTCGTGGCTGGTTAGGATAAAAACTCTTATTGATTAATATGGAAAAGATACCTTATATCGTGTGTCACGGCGTCGCATGTAGTTAGGACACGGTGTAATACTGCTCTCTCCATTGGAAAAAGCCATCTCTTCTGACTCAATAAAGAAATATGCACAGACCAATCTTCATTTACAAGTGAAAACAGTTCTAAAAAATGTTGGTGAATTTTGATGTGAAAGGACAACAGGAGATTTTTTTCACTGGAGGAAGTGTTATTATAGATTATGGATTTTGGCTGGAAGCAACGGTTTAAAGTTAAAATGACTTGATGATGGATTTGTTTCTTACAAACATGCAGCTTGATGTTAACTGATGGACTGGAGTCATGTGGATTACTTGTGGATTTTTATGATGTTCATTCTGGCGGCATTCTATAGGATCCATTGGTGAGCAAGTGATGTAATGCTAAATTTCCAATGAAGAAACAAACACTGTAATTTACTCTATTGAAGGGCTGCACATTCTTGGATTCAGTGTGCACTTTTTTAAGCATTTGTGCATATGAAGATGGACATTATTGGGCATCGGGGTTCTTCCAACTAGTCAGTCATTCAGATTATAAAATAGTCAATTAGGAAAATAGATAGTTTTACACATCCTATTCCCCTAACACAAGCCTAACACACAGTTGGATGCAACATTTTCTCTCTATCTGTCTCTCTCTGTGCTGCTCTTTCTTGTTTATTTATTAACTGTGTCATCTCCCTCCTGCAGCCATTTGGGCTGTTCAAAACATCAGCTGTCTTTTCCTCTCTCGCTCAATCTGTGCTCTGAGTTTACGGAGTTCATTATACATATTCACTCACGTTCACACACTGAAACGCATATCGACAGACATTTGCTGCTGTGAGACTTTAATGGAGAAGTGTTCTATACATTTATTTCATGCTCAGCCTCTGCAAGGAGGAGAAGGGGAGGTAAGTTGAGGTTTTTAGAAGCCAACAAAAAATGTGTATGCAACCATCTTCACCTTGCTCATGCTGGAATATGATTTATTTGGCTCTGTTCCAAAACCTAGTGAGCTGCCTACCTAACCAATATTTTTAGGCATTCCCATCACAAAGGCAGTAAAATTACGCTCTCTTAAAAAATACCTTGTTTTGGATGTCCCAGAATGTTTTGAAACAAAAATCTAATATTAAAATTGCTATACTAATTTAAACATAAATGTAAAACATTTTTTTATTAATGTGTCAAAATGTAATTGATTAATGACTATTTTATCCAGTATTTCTGTATTTTTCATGCTTATTTGAATTTCACACTCTTAACGTAGCAACGTGCTGATGCCAAACTGGAAATCCTTTGTGAGTTTCACCTCTCATGTGCTTCACACGAGGAATTCTATTCGTGTGGCATGGGGAGTGTTCCAAATGAGTCACTTATGAGGTTCTATTTCAGTTAGGATGCTGCCTTAGGGACTGTTCACACAGGATGCATTCTTGCCTTCATCTGTGATGTGTTTAATTGTTTTTCTTCGTCAACATGCAATACCTTGATAAACTTCAGAAGAACATATGAATGTATCCTGTGTAAGGCACTACTCAAGTAGACAGTATACAGCCAGGCAGGTCTATGGGTTGGAACCGAGCTTGCCATACTACACCTTTTGCCATAAATAAGAAGCAGTGATGCATTGTTAATTATGTGTCATTAACATTTCCATTTCATATTATTTTGCCTTTTTTATTTCAAAGCATGTGATCAAATGAGATCCATATTACAACCTGTTGAGAACTACCTGTGTGGGTGTTTATAATGAACTTGGTTTTATGTGTGTGTTTATTAACAGAAAGACTAGATGAGATTTTGGCCTCTCAGGAGACAGTACTGAGGCCAAAGGTGGAAGCAGACTACAGAGCCGCAACGGTGAAGCAACGTCCTACTAGTCGCAGAATTACACCAGCAGAAATCAGTGTAAGATACAGTATGTCCGCACACACTCAGATGATCAGAAAGTGTCCCATTTTAGCAGCACTGACCAAATACGCTATATGTACACAGTTGACTTCAAAAGTCAAAAATGTTTCTTTGTTTTACATTTATCAAACTGAAAAACTGGCTTGATGCAGGTTTGATGGTGGTCAAATGTACCAGCATAGTTTTCCAAAACACAGCTGTATGCTGGTATTTTCAGCAGGGATGAAGCGTCTTACAATAACAGTAGCCAATAGAAACACTTTGTTGAAAATATGCCAAAATATTCTTGCTTGACCCTTTTAAACCTAAATGTTTTCTTTGTGCAGTCTCTTTTTGAGCGGCAAGGACTTGCTCTCCATGGTGCTCTACACCCAGCGTTGGAAAAAGCCCACATGCAGCTGCCGAAAAGCATGGCTAGAACAAAGTCTTTTGGTAATTCTTCAGGAATCTTTTACATACACTCCTCAATTAAGCCCCTCAATTTGAAATAGCAGTAAAGTGCTTGGCTTTGTTCTAGTTTATTTTATCTATCTTTCCTTTGGTCTTCAAATCTGAATGCATTTAACCTTTTAGGTGCCAGTAATTTTTGGAAAAATGCTGGATTTTGACATCAAGATTTCAAAAGCTTGTGGCTTGAAAGGGCTTAAAGATAGAGATCTACTGTAAATTAGAAAAAAATAATATTTGCAACACATCCTCACGGTACAACTTTTTATTAGCCATTTGGCGATTTTCTCTCAAAAATCTCACAATTTACTCGCACGCTATGAGCTGAACTGCTTCCGCATCAATGACACGACTCGCACGCTATGAGCTGAACTGCTTCAGCATCAATGACACGATAGCTCACTTGTTCTGCTATTTCCTCGAACACTTTGAATAGGAACGTGACGTAATTTTGGTCTAGAATCGAAGTACTACATGTCTGCCATCTAGTGGTGGGGAATACAAATGAGATATTACACCATATTAGGAACTACAGTCTATTTTATTAAGTATGACGTCTTGTCACAATTTTGCGACTTTGGTGCTTAGAGGGTTAAATGCAGAACTTTGACACACAGTAACATTTGGAATGCCAAGAATAAGGGAAGCAGTGAAAGGAAAGACCACAGATCAAATCTGTAAATTATTGCATACTTGTTCGTCATCAAAGCTCAGCCAAACCCAAAATACATTTTTATAGATCTATCTGTCTGTCTGTGCAGGAGCAACTGAAGAGGATCGGCTGTCTGCCCTGGCAGCAGAGCACAGGTTTCCGCGGAGCTCCTCCATGACGGACAGCCTGAGAGACAGCCATAGTATCCCTCCACCTCCTCAAACGGCTCCCCCACCTCCCCCCTCGCTTTACTATCTAGATACTGGACCCCCTCCTTCGTTCTGCCCACCCCCTCCTCCTGGCCGCATTCACGACCCCAGCCGTTCCAGTTTCAAACCAGGCTCTGAACCAAGACTGCACGCTTTGCCACAGACAATGTCTGCTGAGCTGTTTGAGCCGCCTCGCCATGCCTCCCACATGGATCGGCAGAAGAAAGCCCGCTCCATGATCATCCTGCAGGACTCCTCCCACCTTCCCGTGGAGCCTACTGACATCCCCAGGCCAGGTTCTGTTTCAACTCCGCCCGAAAGGATCAAGAGGAAAGGTCGGGTCATCGATAACCCCTACGCCAATGTGGGCCAGTTTAGCGTGGGCCTATTCACGCCGCCTCTGAGCAAGCCACAACGGAGGAAGAGCCCGCTTGTAAAGCAACTCCAGGTGGAAGATGCTCAGGAGAGAGCCTCGCTAGCACTGGCATCCATCCATGCGAGAGAGCACTCTCCCTCTGGGCGCCTAGCTGCCCACCATACCAGCAGGGCTGATTTCTATCAGCAGCAGCAGCAGCTGTTGCAGGAACGCAGTCAAGCTCAGGCTGAGGGACTGTTTCCTTCGTTCTACCCACCCCCTCCCCCTGGCCGCATTCACGACCCCAGCCGTTCCAGTTTCAAACCAGGCTCTGAACCAAGACTGCACGCTTTGCCACAGACAATGTCTGCTGAGCTGTTTGAGCCGCCTCGCCATGCCTCCCACATGGATCGGCAGAAGAAAGCCCGCTCCATGATCATCCTGCAGGACTCCTCCCACCTTCCCGTGGAGCCTACTGACATCCCCAGGCCAGGTTCTGTTTCAACTCCGCCCGAAAGGATCAAGAGGAAAGGTCGGGTCATCGATAACCCCTACGCCAATGTGGGCCAGTTTAGCGTGGGCCTATTCACGCCGCCTCTGAGCAAGCCACAACGGAGGAAGAGCCCGCTTGTAAAGCAACTCCAGGTGGAAGATGCTCAGGAGAGAGCCTCGCTAGCACTGGCATCCATCCATGCGAGAGAGCACTCTCCCTCTGGGCGCCTAGCTGCCCACCATACCAGCAGGGCTGATTTCTATCAGCAGCAGCAGCAGCTGTTGCAGGAACGCAGTCAAGCTCAGGCTGAGGGACTGTTGCAAGGAAAGAGACCTTTCGCTGCCGCCATTGCTGATGCTGTGAAAGACCGGGAACGTCGACTGGAGGAGAGGCGGAAATCCACAGTCTTCCTATCAGTGGGCACTATGGAGGGCAGTTCGGCACCTCCCCCAGAGGCCCCCTCACTCACACCATCCCGTTCTGTTGATGAACGAATGCTCACACGTGAACTTGGTCAGTTGCCTCCTCCCGCCCTGGCGTTGCGACCCTCTCCTGGGGGCACCACCTTCATTCACCCACTGACGGGCAAGCCCCTGGACCCCAACTCTCCATTGGCACTTGCGCTGGCCGCAAGGGAACGGGCATTAACCTCCCAGAGTCAGTCCCCTTCAAGCAGCCCAGAGCCCAGAACTAAACATGAAGCTGCTGGAGGGGTGCTGTATATGGAGACCCAGACCAAAAGGGCTGAGCGGTCACAGGGTGAGAGGGAGTTTGCCTCACCTCCCTTTTCCCCTGCAACGAAAAGAATTTACGAGACCTCTGCCCCCACCAGCAAAATCCAGTGGGGAAGTCCCATATCCACCAGGAAAGAGTTAGAAACAAGGACAGAATCGAAGGAGCAAAGGAAAATTGAGGACAAGAAGAGTATGATCATCAGCATCATGGACACGTCTCAGCAGAAAACTGCTGGGCTTATCATGGTTCATGCAACAAGTAATGGGGAGGCCGTGGGGCCCAGCCCAGAACACACTGTCCCCTCTCCCTCTCCCAAGGGGGCATTATCAGAGAGCCCGAAACCCATGTTAGCCGAAATAAAACGCGCCAAGTCCCCTGGTCCCGATGCTCCTTCGAGATCCACCCCGCCTCCAGCCACAGCTCCAACTTCCCAGCCACCTCCCAGCCCGTCCTCAGATAAAACCCTGGCACAGGGTAGTTCTGAGGAGGATGTGGAACCCTATACGGTCACATTGCCACCTGCCATGCTCTCTTCCAGTGACGAGGAGACGCGTGAGGAGCTCCGCAAAATCGGTGTGGTTCCTCCACCGGATGAATTTTCCAATGGCCTTCTTGGAAAGGCATCTGCAACTGCAGTACCTCCTGCTCCTACGTTGGCGCAGACAACCCCTTCTGCCCTGCCCTCGGCAACACCCCCACCCCCCGCCCCTCCAGCAGCGGTCGCCGCAGCAGCACAGGTCCCCGCTAGCAGTGGCCCGCAAGCAGCCTCAGGGAAGCCATCTGAGTCCCACCTGGGCCCAGAGTCTGCTGCTGACTCCGGGGTGGAAGAGGTAGACACTCGTAGCTCCAGTGATCACCACTTGGAGACCACGAGCACCATCTCCACCGTCTCCAGTATGTCCACACTGTCCTCGGAAAGCGGCGAGCCCACGGACACCTACACCACCCACGCAGATGGCCAGACGTTCATTCTTGATAAGCCGCCAGTGCCTCCAAAGCCAAAGCTCAAGTCCCAGCTCAGCAAGGGCCCGGTGACATTCAGGGACCCCCTGCTTAAGCAGTCATCTGATAGCGAACTGCTCTCACAGCAGCACGCGGCTGCGCTGGCTGCTGCTGCGGGAGCCTCAGGCCCGGCCAGACCCCGCTACCTCTTCCAGAGACGCTCCAAGTTATGGGGGGACCCCGTGGAACCCCGTCCGCTTTCGGGGGCAGAGGAAGGCAAGCCCACTGTGATCAGCGAGCTCAGCTCTCGGCTGCAGCAGCTGAACAAGGACACGCGCTCACTCGGGGAAGAGCCGCTTGGAGCTTCACTTGACCCCGGAAGGAAATCGCCCGTGGTCGGTGCAAGGTAAGGTGTGAATCCTGGAGAAGACCGATTGCAAATCAGCTTTGCAACTGAATCTGTACTTCTATGAAAACAAATTCAACACCTTTTCTAAAGCAACATTGCAAAGAGAATACAAAAGTTGGTTGTTTATACTGCAAATGCAAGTTTCCTATTGTTTAAATAACAGTGAGAACACTGTTCAATTCTTTTCCCATATCTGAATAACAATGTTCAATCGAAGCTCACAGTTTGCATTTAGTAATATGAAATAAAATGAACATAAATTATATATTAAACATCCTCATGAAAATCACAAAGAATACCAAAGAACATAACGTGTCTGTCCAGAGTTTCACAAGTAGTCACCTTTAACTTTTATTTAAAAGAAAGCTAATCCAGAACCTTAAAATTTCTTACTCGTTTAGAAGCATTAAGTGTTAATGTTTAACATGCTTTCTTCATTGAGACGTTTGGAGCCCCCGAACTATCTCAGCATTGGACGACCACTGGTAAGTAATGTAGAACGGCCTCAGACTGATCTCACAGCTCTACCATATAACCCGTAGACAATAGATAGTGTGATACAGACTTTTCTGTATATACACCAATGCACATAACCAGAGCTACAGGGACAGCTTGAGTTAAAATAATTAATTGCAATAAAAAATGTTTCATATAAAATCAATAAAAGTCAATGTTTTTTTCTGTCTTGATTTTTTAAAAACACCAGCTATGTACTATTTTGCTTATATCCTTAAATACAGCTGAAGTCCTTTATATCCCAACAGATGTGACAAGGACATGGAAGACAGTAAACCTTAGCTTTTAGCCACTAGGGTAAATCAAATGTCATTCCTTTTATTTTCTATTCTTTAACATCCACTAATCCCATATTCGATCACTTTTGCTGACATTGTTCTGGGTTTTATTAATCACTTCTGCAGGTTCTGTGTTCCCTTGTCCACCCTGGCAAATCAACCAAAATGTCTGTCCCTTGACAGTATTGTCAAGTATTCTCAGTACACCTGTTTCGGTTATGACGCCTTTTTCAGTGAACATGATGTGACTCAAAAACTTTCTTGATAACATGCAGTAGGGTGACTACATTATGACATAAATTTAATTTGAAAAGCACTCCTTTAAGTCCCTCTGTCTTGCCATTTGGGTGTTCACAAGGTAACAGATGGCCTGAGGGCATGCACCATCTCAAGCTTCGACCTCTCACCTTCCAAACTCTGTCACATCTAACTCAGTGAGCTTTTCCCTCCGGCCTGCATCTCTATGGCACTGTGCTAGCAGTATGTATGTGGATCCATGTGTGACTGATAGTTTTTTCTTGCAACATCATAGGATATGAATGTGTTGTTTGACCCATGTTTATCACAGTAATTGTGAGCTATAAACCCATGTTTGTCCAACCCTCAATAAAGTTATTTTAAAACTGGATTGAATTTAAATTAACTACACCAGCTGAAAGTTGTCATTTCACATTGGATGATCCAACATAAAACCAACATAATCACAGTGTCATCATAATAATAATATCTAATTCCTCTGTGTAGTCGTTCTTTTTCTTTCTCTCCATTCAAACATGCTGTCCAAGCTTACTGTACTCGCTAAGTGTTTTGTGACACTTTCATCCATTAATCATGCTAACACAGTGATCGCTCCGGCTTCTTCTTGGAAAAATTGTAGCTCATGTAGTATGCATTGTTTATTTTTCATGCATATTTGTTCATTTTGCTTAATTTTTGTTTCATTTGACCAGAACGGCACCTTACCCCAGACAGAGGATGTATTGAAAGAAATGCCGTGTTTAATTTCACATCATCAAAAGTCACTCTTTATTGATAGTGTCTATATGTGCATGTTCCACCATTGAAAGCTGAGGTCTGGGGCTAGCTGCGCTCTGGTCTGTGTCGCTAAGCATTTGGTTTGCATTCAATTGACATTGCTGAGGATATGAAGTGTGTGGTGTTTGTTTTTGTTCTGTCATGGACTGATGCTAACCGACCGCTCTCTCTCTCTTTCTCATTGCCCCTCACTCTCTCTCTTCCTCTGTTTCTCTCTCTTTTTCTCCGTCTCCCTCTCTCCCTCTTTCTCTCACTCTCTCTTTGCATGCTACGCTGCTCTGTCTAGAGCTGAATTTGAGGCTAAGCCCAGAAGAGCCGGGCACCTGTGTAAGTGCGCATGAATCATCTCATCTCTGTTTTTTCTGTTTCCACACCTCTGAGTCAAGCTCTGATCATCATCCACCCTTCCTCATTTACTGATTTGGCCAGGCCCCTCTAAACCCCAGCTTTTCCATGTTTTTCATTGGCTGCTTAATTCTCAATCCTCAAGTTACAGAGGCAAAAGGATTCGATCAATTCAAGTATAGGGCATTAGTTTTCATTTAGATTTTTCGTAGACTGCTTCTACAGATATGATAGGTAATGATCAGAGCTTGCACCTGTATTGTTAAATAAGTTCTGTCCTCTTCACCCGGGGTGAAACATATGGCTGACTTGGCTAGTTATGTAAAAATCTCAAATTATGAATCCTATATTGTTATATATTTTTCACAAAATAATACAATATGTAATCTGAAGGTTGAGATGTTATTCGTGTCTCCACATCTGTCTTCTGTTGTTTCTCATGTGTTGCATGTTTGGTTGTGCTTTCAGTGTTCTGCTGTAGTGCTCATAAAATCTGTGTAAATCTGGCCATGTTTTACATTTCATTCAGATTGCATTCGAACTCATGTAACACCCCAGTCATTACCATTGATTGTTAATTGAGTAATTACATCTGATCTTCACTTCATTGCACACAGAGGCAGGTTTTAAGTGGAGAGCGAGTTTCTTTTGCCTAGTTACAGTTGTAGCATGCAGAACTAAACAAAAGTTTAAACAGTCTTAACAAACTTAGTGGCAAAAAAATTATAAATTTAATATTTATATTTAATATTTTAATTTAATGTTAACAAATGAAACAATTCTTGTAAATTGTTACCAGTATTTTTTACTTGTTTTTACCTTATTGATACTAAAAAATAAACCTGCCAGTGCAGTAAGACAAAATATATGTATATTCAAGATACAATGCATAAAAACAAGTCTTAATATTATTTGCGGTTTGCTTCACAAGTAAATTTAGGGATTTTTAGATATTTTCACTGAAAAATTTAAAAAGGGCATTAAAACTCATTAAGAAGGTGTTTTTACAGTGTAAATAGGTTGAATTTTGATGTCATATTGACTAAAGCCCCGTTCACACCAAGAACGATAACTATAAAGATAACGATATTAGCGTCCACACCAGCGAACGATATTGTCTGTAAGCGCACGCTCGTCTGCTGCTTTAAATTCTCGAACTCGTTATAGCAGGATTGATTCTGATTGGCTGTCAATGTTTTTATCATTCATCAGCTGAAAAAAAAAATCGTTCTGAAAGTGATTCGTTTCTCTGTGCATTTATCGTTATAGCTGTGGTGTGGACTCTGCTATTCTTTAATATTGAGAATGATTTTTAGAACTATATCTTTATCGTTATCTTTATAGTTATCGTGCTTGATGTGAACAGGCCTTTAGGAGAAAACACTTTAAATTTTAGTTGTATGACTGAACTATAAACTCTAAAAACTCAAATCCAAGCTCCTCCTTGATCTCATGATGTATTCTCTCTATCTTTGCACCGCAGGTCTGTAACACCTTTGCACTTCTATTATTATGGCTAAACGCATTAATTAAACATGTCACTAACCACGTCTAACTCAAAAAACGTAGAGTCCTAACATAGCTGATGCTTTCCCTGCCACTGAATCTACGGTTTCTCACAACAACAAAAAAAGTTGACTTTCATCCTATCTGCCCCCTTCCTTTTCTCTTCTGTTCCCTACTTCCAGACTCTTCAGCAGTTTGGGGGAGCTCCATACTATCTCTCAGAGAGGCTACGGCACCACCTACACCATCAGACCAGGCAGCCGCTACCCAATGACCCGGCGGACACCCCACCAGAAGCCCCTCCACCTCTGGAACAAGTACGACGTTGGCGACTGGCTGGCCAGCATTAATCTGTCTGAACACCGGGAGCGATTCCAAGAGCATGAGATTGAGGGCTCCCATCTGCCTGCTCTGACCAAGGAGGACTTCGCTGAGCTAGGTGTGACGCGCGTCGGTCACCGCATGAACATTGAGCGCGCCCTTAAGCAGCTGCTGGAGAGTTGACCACGCGCCTCCCTCTACCTGTAGCTAGTCTCAACACAGTTTTCTTTTATTATCTTATTTAATTTGCTTGTCATTTTTCTTGCAATTCTTGAGATTTAAATCCGAAGTGTGTCATTTCGATGTTAAAATAATTATCCTATCCCACGCTTTTGTAAAAAGCAATCCCTGGGGTGTTACTAAATGGTATTAATATGTACCATTTAGGTACTAATAGGTACATTTTTGGTGCTGATATGTAAGGCAGAGATGTCTAATTTTGCTCCTGGAGGGCCACTTTTTTCAGAGTTTAGCTCTCAGCAGTTTCAATACACTTGCCTGGAAGTTTCTACTGATTCTGTAGACCATGATTAGCTGTTTAGCTGATGTGTTTAACTGGAACTAGAGCTAAACTCTGCTGACAAGTGGCCATCCAGGAGCAGGATTGGACACCCCTGCTTTAAGGTACTATTATGAACCCTTTAGGGGTAGAAATAAGTAGGGTTGCAAAGAGGCAGACATTTTTGGAAAGTTTACAGAAATGTTCCACCCTTTGCAACCCTATAAATAAGGTACAACGGAAGGGTACTGCACCAGTGACAACTTTTTTGGACCTCTTTTTCCAGGAATGCAATTTATTATTCCCCTGAAAACATTGCTCTGTTTATTTGAGCATCCCAACCAATCCGACGCACCAACATTGACAGTGTTTGTCCAACCAATGGCAGTCAATTTAAACAATCATTTTTGCTATTGCCGCAGAAATTACACACTTCTGTTTTAAATAATCTCACTATTTCTTAAATCCATCATTGGTGTAGTGGGTGTTGACTCCATGCTGTTTTTTTGTAGCACTATCATAAGCCCCTCCCACTCTACTGCCAGCAGCCAATCACATGGGTGCTGTGTATTTGGAAGGGACTGTGAATTTAGTGATCGAATTGGCTTTGTTCACACTGCACAAAAATCTGATTTATTTTGCAAAATCAGATCTGCTGACGGCGTCTTGCCATGGTGCCAAACTCATGATGCATTTATTTAATGCATTTATGCAAATACTTAAAACCGCTCATTGATTCAACTCATTTACTATTCACTGTGTAGTTTCCTATATGGTGAAAAAGTGAGAGAAAATTAGTGTATTTGCAAAGTAAATCTCATCCCGAATTAGGAAAAACTACTTGAAATCCAATTTGACAGTTCACACTGCATTTGAATCTGATTTCAAACCACTTACAGTAATGGGGGTCAAAAATAATGCTCAAATGCTACAAAACTCAGATTTTTGCTGTCTGTCGAAAACAAAGCCTATTCAAAACATCTCGTAATTGATTCTTCAGTTTCATTAGCATGATAAACACCCACTAATCCCTTAGTCCCAAATCCATTTTTTTCTACTTTACTATTCGCTTCTTACCGCTGTCATTCATTCAGAGAAAGGAGGGATGCTGTTGAGAAAAGGAAGTTCAGTTGCCTTTCAGAGTATTTTTTTAGGAGTGGATGAGCAGAGTGGGCGTGGCCGGATCCTCTCTGTCTACCGCCTGCCCCCTTCTGGCTGAGGGACGTACAACACTCGGAGAATGTTTAACCAACACTAGTGGCTTTTTCATAATCAGACTCTTAACTTTGGGTTTCCAAAGGAAATATGACATTAGATAGAATATCTCAATGTATTTAAATAGCTTTGAAAATGGAGGGAGACCGCAAACAACAGGACGGACCATGCAAAACTGCACCTGTCTCTCTCCCTAGATTATTTATTCCACCAATAATTTACCCATTTTTACCAATTATATACATATATATTTGACAGAAAAAAAGTATATAGATATATGAATATAACATTTTTGTCATAAATATAAAACTTATATATGATATTATATATATAAAGACAAAAAACACTCTTGAAAATGATTTTTGATGGTTATCCTTTTATGATGGACTGTAGCATGAAACGTTACATCACCATACGGAATGACGGTTGACTGATTTGTTCGATTTGCATTGTACCACCCCCTTTTTTGCTTTTCTTTCTTATGGTTTTACAGAACCTGGTCTTCCATCTTTAATTGGGCTGTAACGGTGTGTTCATGTTTGAGCCCTTCACACACACCGCTTTTGTCTGTTATTAATTTGTAGTTTTTTCGTATGAAACAAAAACGCGTTTCCAGTACAGTTACACACTTTCATGCGCACAACCACACCGGTTTCTTATCCAAATTTGATCTAAATAAGTCTTCTTAATCTGGTAATAAGAAATTCCGAATAAGAAACTCTGCAATAAGTGTGTGTGTGAACAAACGTGTGTGCGGTGTGCATGACAGAACCGCTGTGGGACGAGAAACATCTGGATGGTATATCGCAGCTCATCTGGATGGTAACGACTGGTGTTCGAAGACAGAATCTATAATTGTAAAAGTTTCTACCTTATGGCTTATATGTTAACCTGCTGTAAGCACTGAAGCATTTGGCTTATTTGTTTTGGCCTTTATTTTTTTTTTTCTTTGTCCTCATAGGTGGATTTTGTAGCTTGTGAAATATGATGCTTAGAAGACTTTTTATGAATTCATTTAGAATGAATTTTAGAATGACAACTACAGTAGTTAAAAGAAGAAGCTGAGGACAAAAGATTTCATGAAAAAACAATCAATGAAAAAGAAGCCCAGAGATCCTGCAGCTGTATATATGGACAAATGACTCAAATATTTGCTTTTTATATCAATCACAAGCAATGTATATATACGATAGTTTTCATATAAATTTTTAAAAATCTAAAAAATATATAGATCTATATATGAATGTTTGGCATATATGCATAGTTAACCACCTGTCAAAAAAGGTGAAGATTTTACTCTTTGTATGGAGTTCGGGGGTGATTTGCACAAAACAAGGTGCTAGCATTTCAAGCCATTCATTCCCACCTGTCCCATTCAACCCTCTATTAGGGCTCAACAGATGCATATATGACCTGTTTGCATATTTAAACGAAACCTGGGACATGCAAACACAGACACACATATGCTCATTTCTCTTCTGTGCACCATCAAACCTATTCAGTCCTGTTTTTAATACCCAACGTGTGTGTGTGTGTGTGTGTGTGTGTGTGTTTGTGTGTGTGTGTGTGTGTGTCAGACAGCAGCCAATCACATGGGTGCTGTGTATTTGGAAGGGACTGTGAATTTAGTGATCGAATTGGCTTTGTTCACACTGCATACAAAAAAATCAGATTTTTTTTTCCAAATCTGATCTTTAGGACTGATCAGATCTGCCTATACCTGGTTTATCCACAATTGTGTCATGGTGCTGAACTCATGATGCATTAAAGTATGCATTTAATGCATTTATGCAAATACTGAAACCGCTCATTGATTCATCTCATTTACTATTAATTGAATAGTTTGCTATATGGGGAAAAAGTGAGAGAAAATTAGTGTATTTGCAAAGTAAATCTCATCCGTAATTAGTAAAAACTACTTGAAATCCAATTTGACAGTTCACACTGCATTTTAATCTGATTTCAAACCACCTATAGTACAAATGTGGTTTTAAACTGGGTTTTGTTTTTTTTTGCTGTCCAAACTACAAAAATACAACAAAAACAGTTTTTTTGCTGTCTGTCTGAACAAAGCCTATTCAAAATATCCCGTAATTGATTCTTCAGTTTCATTAGCATAAACACCCACTAATCCCTTAGTCCCAAATCCAGTTTTTCTACTTTACTATCCGCTGTCATTCATTCAGAAAAACGAGGGATGCTGTTGAGAAAAGGAAGTTCAGTTGCCTTTCAGAGTATTTTTTTAGGAGTGGATGAGCAGAGTGGGCGTGGCCGGATCCTCTCTGTCTACCGCCTGCCCCCTTCTGGCTGAGGGACGTACAACACTCGGAGAATGTTTAACCAACACTAGTGGCTTTTTCATAATCAGACTCTTAACTTTGGGTTTCCAAAGGAAATATGACATTAGATAGAATATCTCAATGTATTTAAATAGCTTTGAAAATGGAGGGAGACCGCAAACAACAGGACGGACCGTGCAAAACTGCACCTGTCTCTCTCCCTAGATTATTTATTCCACCAATAATTTACCCATTTTTACCAATTATATACATATATATTTGACAGAAAAAAAGTATATAGATATATGAATATAACATTTTTGTCATAAATATAAAACTTATATATGATATTATATATATAAAGACAAAAAACACTCTTGAAAATGATTTTTGATGGTTATCCTTTTATGATGGACTGTAGCATGAAACGTTACATCACCATACGGAATGACGGTTGACTGATTTGTTCGATTTGCATTGTACCACCCCCTTTTTTGCTTTTCTTTCTTATGGTTTTACAGAACCTGGTCTTCCATCTTTAATTGGGCTGTAACGGTGTGTTCATGTTTGAGCCCTTCACACACACCGCTTTTGTCTGTTATTAATTTGTAGTTTTTTCGTATGAAACAAAAACGCGTTCCCAGTACAGTTACACACTTTCATGCGCACAACCACACCGGTTTCTTATCCAAATTTGATCTAAATAAGTCTTCTTAATCTGGTAATAAGAAATTCCGAATAAGAAACTCTGCAATAAGTGTGTGTGTGAACAAACGTGTGTGCGGTGTGCATGACAGAACCGCTGTGGGACGAGAAACATCTGGATGGTATATCGCAGCTCATCTGGATGGTAACGACTGGTGTTCGAAGACAGAATCTATAATTGTAAAAGTTTCTACCTTATGGCTTATATGTTAACCTGCTGTAAGCACTGAAGCATTTGGCTTATTTGTTTTGGCCTTTATTTTTTTT